GAGGTGGTTGCGCTGGTGGATCATGAAGTTGATCTTGAGCATGAAGCTCTTCCCGCACTCGGGGCAGATGTAGGGTCTCTCCCTGGTCCGGTTTCGCTGCTGGGCAGTGCCTGGCTTCATCTCCCCGGAGTCCCTCTCGCAGGCAGAGGGTTTCCTCACGCGGGCTGCCAGGCTCCTGGGCTGTGTCTTGGAGCTGCACTGTGCCTCACAGCCCAGCCCAGCCTCGTGGCTGGGGAATGCCGGCGGCTCGGTTCTGCCCGAGAACATGGTGCACGGTTCCAGCGTGTCGGGGGCATCCTCCTCCTCCTCCTCCTCCGTCTTGATCACGATCCCATCCTCTGAGAGGAGAAACAGAAACAGGTCATTGGGTGGGATGGGGATGGCTTTTATGCACCTGGGGGTGCTACAGAAACATCAGCATGGGCTCCTGCAGCTGTGCGTGCCTGCCTGTCTGCTCTGCCCACCTACCTAGACACCAGCCGGCTGCAGCCTGGAGCATGGAGTGCTGGGATGGGCCATGTCACCCCTCAACACAGACAAACAGACAAACCATCCCTGGGCAGGCTCCTCTGGAGGGTACACTCGGACTGTGTACCAAAAGGTTTGGCAATTTCATGCTGCTGCAGGATGTGAGGGACTAAAGCGCCACCGGTTTGCGAGGGCTCAGGTGGCTGAGTGATTTCGGAGCAGCTCCATCTGCTGCCGTTTCACTGGGCTACAACACCACTCTGGCATGATACTGCTCAATGGAAACACAGCACCAGGCTGCCAGCATTCAGCTCTGCTCCTGGGGAAACACATCCAGCCTGGGACTGTCCCCTTCCTTCAGTCTCACCGCGACAGGGCGCAGAGAAAGACCCCCCTCCTTCGCAGAGCGATGGATGGCTGCAGGCAGGGTCCTCCTCATGTCCCCAGTGCCAGAAGTGACCTGGTGTTCTTGTGTGGTGACTAGGTTGTTACAGGTTGGACTTGATCTCAGAGGTGTTTTCCAGCCTGATTTATTCTGTGATTCTGTGAGCAGCCACACTGGGGACACACAGGACACACAAGCAGTGTGCCCTGAAGAAAGGCCCATGGCAGATCCCTCACATCACCCAGCACTGGACTCTGAGCCAGGCCTACACTCCCTTCCAGAAGAGCAGCCACACTTTCCCAAGACAAGGCAGCTGATGGGAGAGGATGTATCAAAGCCACAGCCCTCTCCACTCTGACAGAGGGGTCACTGGGGCAAACCCAGGATCTCTTCCCATCCTCCTCGCAGTGAGAAGCTTCCCCTCTGCAAACCCAGGGGCTGTCACTGCTCCCGTGCTGGCTGCCAGCACCCACAGCCCAGTCAGCACTGCCACAGCTCCTGCTCAGCCCCACTAGTCTCAGCACAGGCACCGGTTCTTGGATAAGGATCGGTTCCAGCCCCACTGGTGGCTTGGCTGGATTCCCTTACCAAACCATGAGCAGACCACAGAATCCACGAGACGGAGTTGAGGCCTTTGAGAGCCCAACTCTCTCCATCTTGGTTTGTGTTACACCACCACGGAGCCCTCAGGAGGCAGAGAACCCACTGTTCCCAACTGCTCCCCCGTCCCTGTCCTCACAGCACATCTGTAGGACCTGCCCACATCTGCCACCCAAACGGCAGAATTCTATATATGAAATGCTCAGTGCCATCATCTCATCTCTCAATTAAGTCACCTCACCCTTCCCCTTTCCTCTTGGTAGCTTACACACCATGGACCTCTGGCCAAGCTCCTCCATGTCCTGCAGACCTGTCCAAACTGACCCCCATGCTGGTTGACCTGCAAGACCCTTCACGTTCCTCCATCAGTCTGGTGTGTGACTATCCACGTGTCTTACACCACTCCTCCACAGGACCAACACCAGAGCAGGAGTCCCCCACTGACATCCTGCCCTCTGCCACGGTGGGATTTTGGCAGTGGGGCTTACAGGGGCTCTCATCAAACACTGCCTGAGACATATCTTCCCCTGGTCTCCGTGTAGCAGGGGCTGTTCCCCCCTGCAGAGGACTGAGCCACTGCTTGCTCCGCTCTGGAAGCGGTTGGGAGCCCTCAGAGACCACACTCTGCATCCACTGCTGCCTCCTCCTCCCAGCCTGAGGTCTGCTCAGAGACACTCCTGAGGTTGTTGCAGCCAGAACTATCCCTCTGGTGCTGGCTCTGGGGCAATTTAACTCTTCCCATTCATCCAACCCATTCCCGACCTTTGCCTGACCCACCACAGCCCCACCTGGGCCTCCTGTCCCCCAACATGCCACTTGCCAAGTGTCTCACCTGTGCAGCTCCCATGGTGAACGATGACTCTCTGGATCTCGCTGAAGTCAGCTCCATATTCGGAGGAGTCCCCCAGGCTGGTTCCCGGGAGGTCCCTCGGAGGGGAGACGGAGCCGTAGGGGCTCTCGCAGGCTGCCTCCTCATCTGGGCTCTGGAAGCTCCCCTCTGACTGCCCTGACATCCCATGCAGCTCGGGGTTTTCAGGGCTGTCTTCAGGAAGGAGCTCCTCCGTTTTGATCACAACCCTTATTCCAGCTGCAGCAAAGAGATTCCCACCCATCATCATTCCTGGGAGCCAGGATGAAGAAGCTGCTCACAACAATCCCCATCACTCCAACTGCTGATCCCACAGAGGGGTTTCAAATGCTCAGACACTTCTGCTCTCCCTTGAGCCCCTCATCCATCCCTGCCATGCTCCCACCTCTTGCCTGGGATCCTCCAGAGGCACAGGGATCCCAGGTGAGCAACAGCTCAGCACCCCTCAGCCACCCCACACCCCCCTGCTGCAGCTCCCTGTGGGCAGATGATTTTCCTCTTCCTGTTGGCCTTGATTTAACTTTGACATCCTTGTGATGGAGTGCACAGGCCTGGGGTCAGAGCGATCCCAAGTCTACAGCCTGGTGCCTGGGACAACCAGTGGAGCTGGCAGTATCTCTTCTAGGACACCTCCTTATCAGTCTCCTTATCCCAGAGCAGGAGTCACCCCAGGACTTGGAGTCCCTGGTGCCCTGCTCCAAGCCCAGCCCTGCCCTTGGAGAAACCCCTCAGCACTCTGTCTCCCAGCGTGCATGATGGGAGTGGGCTTCCCTGCCTGGGGGATGCTCCAAGGATAAACCCAAGCACCAGCCACACAAGGAGAGGGTGGAAAGGATTTTCTGGGTGGATGGGCTTTCCCAATGAAACCAAATTCTCCTTCCCTGCCAGGCACATTGTCTCCCTAAGGACCTGGTCTGGTTGCAGATGCTTCCCTTGCTGACAGCTCCTAGTGCCCAACTCTCCGGGCTCCGCTTGTCCTGGTTTACATGTTGAACTGTACCTGGACATCAAATTTCTGATCAGTTAAATTTATCCTGCTCCTAGGCAAAGCTCCTCCAGATAAAGCCCCACAGCTACAGCTCCCAGCAACACCTGCTGTAGCCTTGGGGTGAGCAGCTCCTGGGAACACAACCCAGGGCTCCCCTTGTGCGAAGGTGCTGTCTCACCTGCAGTGGCATCAGTAATGATCTCACTCTCCTCCAAGTCCTGCTCATTCCTGCCCCGCGATTCCTCTCCTTGCTCGATCTGAGACAAAACACCAGGTTTGGAAATTGCATAGTCTGTTGAAAGATAGAGGTATGGAGAGAGCGATTACTGCACTGGTGTGGGAACGTGACTGAAGGTAAAAAGAAAACGGTATGGAAGTTATAGGGGAAAATAGTCGGTACTCCCTAGATGGAACATGATCAACACACTCGACCTCTGACACACAGCACAATCTAAGGGGGACTACATGGAGGGTGGAGAGGAGTGGAGACACCATGGCCCTGTGGAAGCCCTTGCGGAGGAGGGAGCTTGGTGGTACTTTCTAGCTGATAAGCCAGACAGCACCTGAAAACCAGGGGAGATAAAGGATATGTCCTGTTGTTGAATCAGCAGCTGTGAGAAAATCACTTTCCTTGGACTGACCATGTTCCTATCCCAAGGTTATCTCAGTTACTGACTGAGATACCTGCCCCAAGGTACAACCATCACTCCCTGAGCAAGATGTATGACTGGAGTCACCCAAGCTCCACCGAAATGTAAAGAAACAGGATAAAAGTGAGAATGGGGAGAAGCTGGGGAAGACTCCATCCAGTGCGACTTCTGGGGTCAGTCAACAACAAGCTGAACCTGTTTTCTCCCCCACAGGGACTGAACTCTATGCTGAATCATTATCTAGAGCAGCTTTTATTGGGGATTAGAGCTTGTCTGTATATTGCTTTGAATTAGGATATTGTATTGAATGTATTTTTGCAGTCAGATACAACCACCAGCAATCCTCGAACCTTAAACTGCCATAATTACATTAATAAAGGGTGTCATTAATAGTGTTATTCTATAAACTGTTAGTGTATTGAGTCCTTCGAGGGCACTGGCAGTCACTGGCAGTGGGTAAAAGTGTGAAGACCCTGGAGGAGCTTCTGTTTGGTGTGTGACTCAGGACAAGTTAGTCAAACCCTCTGACCCAGTAAACTGCTCAGTGAAGGATCCCCGTAACGGGTCCCTGACAGAGGAGCTGGGCACAAGGGCCTCTCTTGGCTTTTCCAGGGGCACTGACAGACCAATCAAACACTAAGGGTTTGAGGAAATCTCCCCTTTTCATGTGACAACTGGGAATCTAATGTTGGCTTCCACCTCTCCCCAGTGTGCTGGGGGACACTCAGGAACATCCATAGAGGGTCTGTGGGCAGCAAAGCCAACTGCTGCAGGCAGCAGGGATTCCTGGAGGCAGGAGCTGAGGTGTCACACAGAGGAAATGCCTTTGAGAAGAAACCCAACACTTGGGTTCTGGTGGGGATTTAAACTGCTCAGAGAAATCCTGACTCTTCTGAAGCCAAAAGCATTTCTCCAGCTCCCAGCAGAGACAGGATCTCTCCTGAACCTCCACAGGAAATGACCCAAAGCACAGATCACATCAATTTTGGCCTCTGCAAAAGTTTCCTCTTAAGGGGTGCGTGGGCTGGTACCCACTGCAGACTCAGAAGATGAAGGGAAGCCCTTCCAAGAGCCCTGCCGACGGTCCTGGTTTTTCAGTGCCTAACTGACTGGAAGAGGTTTGGGAGGTCTCCAGCCCACCTGGCTATGGGCACTCCCCACTCCAGCCAGGACAGCACGACAGCATGAGCTGAGAACAAACCCAGACTAGAAATGTTCTTCTGTGCTTTAAGTCTTTAAAATGGGACATTTGGGTCTCAGGAAGATCTCCAAGGAGGAGGCAGAAGGTGCCCCATCCTGCAGGCAGCCAGGAGCTCTGGAGAACCTGGACACCCTGTATTTACCCAGGGAGATCAGTGACTCGTAGTTCCCCTTCATCACGTTCTTGTACAGCTCCTTCTGCCACTCCTCCAGCTTCTCCCATTCCTTGTTGTTGAAATAGACGGACACGTCGTCAAATGTCACTGGCACCTGCAATCACAACAGCACAGGTTCAAGTCACTGCCTCACTCCCCGAGAGCCTGGAGTGTTACCTCTGGCGAGCGGCAGCGGCAGCTCACTCCTGCTGGGACACAGCCAGGCTTCAGCCGCCTCACGGCCTTCAGCAAGTTCATTCGGTATCTACAGCAACTCCTGGGCATGTATTTCCATGGGATTAAAGGTCTCAACCAAACGGACAGTTCCCAGTGATGAATCCAGACTGGGATTTCCCCAAATGATCCCAATCTCCTCCCCTCGGTCCCTGCATTCCGTGATCGGCCCTGGAAGGACCATAAAGGAGAGAAAACCTGGGCACTGGGCTGGCCTCATCCCTATGGATGAGCTGACGTAACCCCCAGATTCAATTACTCCAGAACTCCAGGGAAAACTCTACCCAGGCCCACAGAGCTCCCTGTTATCCTTAGTTACTGTGTGCCCACTGGCTGGAAGCAGACCACGGCTTCCCAGCCTGTCTGCCAAGGAATAATTCCCAAGGATAAATTCAGGATGTGCAAACTGTGCATTCCATGTTGAAATGGAGCTCTTCAGAGGGAACATGGCACTCCCTGACTGCACTTAAGGGGGTGTCAGGGTCTGAGACCCCCTTTTCCAGCTCTCTCCAGCAACATTACATTTCCCATGTCCCACAAGGTCCCCTCTGCAAACTTGCTTGCAGCAGGAGGGCCATGAAATTCAAGTAGGAATTGAATAGTGATGGTGGGTTTCTTCCAGACCACGGCTAAGCACAGGGAGCTGATCTGCCTTCTCCAAATCCCAGAGCTTCCCCCTCTCCTGCAGCAGCAGCTCCCACTTGCTCCTTCTCCAGTGCCAAGGTGGTCAAAAAGAAAGAGCCACTAAATCTGAAGGCTTTCTTTTTCTGAAGGGTGGCAACCAACCAAAACAAAAGAGTAAATGGCTCTGGGGCTGTGCAGCACAGCAGAACTGAAACCTCTGGCCTGGGCACTAGGATGTCCTCCTGGGTGTATCCCCGTGTCCCACCAGACGTGGTCCCAGAGCGAGATCCGCTGGGAAGCTGTGAGAGGCAGCTCTGAGAGTGAGTGACTCACCTGTACCAGGGTCGTTCCCATTACCCACCCCGGCCACACTCAGGAAGTGCTTGGGGTGCAGACCCCAACTCTTGCACCCCTGGACACCGTTACCTTGGGGACTTCCCCCTTC